TTATCCAGACCCCACGTTTCACGGGCCGCTCTAAAATATAAATATTCTGTAAATACCGAAACAAAAGATGAAAATCTGAAGACACAAACGTGAAAATAACACTTTACGACACTCTAAATAGTGTTTTGGATTCTGGTTCGAATAAGACTATTACGAAAAAGATATGTCCAAAGGAGCCGAAGTTATGTTCGGCGAAATGTATGGCTTTGGCTATAGTTTACATGATTTGATTGATTGCACAAATGACTGATATGTGAATTTAGACAGAAAAATGTTTAACCTGGTTGCCCTAATTGACTTAAAAAATGCATTCGAATGATTCGATACAGTCGACCATCAAATTTTATTGAGGAAATTGGAGCTGTACGGTATAAAAGGCCAGGCACTATCTTTTCTCAATTCATATCTCTTAAATCGAAGTCAGAAATGCCAAATAAATGGATTTTTGTCATCGGAGAAAGTGATTAGATGTGGTGTGCCACAAGGCCTATTTAAATCTATTTTAGGGCCATTATTCTTTTTATTGTACATCAATGATTTGCCCCAATGGCTATCAAAAACAAAACCTCGGTTATTTGCTGACGACACAAACCTGACAGCTTCTGCCGTTCTGGCGACTCGATAACTCGAGCTCGTCTTGAAGCTACATGAATTCTGATTTAGAAAACCTAAAAAAATGGCTAATTGCAAATAAACTTAGCCTCAATGTTGCGAAAACTGAATTTATGTTAATTGGCTCAAAACAAATGATTAAAAGTATTTCAAATTTGCAGCCAAATGTGGTAATTGAAAACAACAGATTAAACAAGTGCATGAGTGTAAATTAAAACTCTTGGAGTGACAGACGACCAGCATTTGTCGTGGAACGGTTAACACCGGAAAATATTTGCAGGAAAATAACATCAGGAATTTCTGCTCTTAGACGTTTAAAGGATTTTGTTGACAGGCAAATGCTTCTTTCCGTTTACAATGCTATTATTCGCCCACGCATACTTCGATTCATGCTGCTGTGAAGTATGGGATGTGTTCGGTGAAACACAATCGAAACGACTTCCAAAAACTCCCAAAATAGAGCTGCTCGAATTATCATGAATATGAGCAATGACACAGATCATTCTGTAGCATTGCAAGCATTGGAATACAGTCCATAGTTTTTTTTTTTTTGTAGTGTTTGTGTAATTTCATAGAGGCTGAGCCTCTGGTATTATGGCAATGAATAACATTGTTTTTTATGCAAAGTGAATCAAATTGAGGTGGTAGTGTATTTTTTACTGCGTCGAATGTGAACAAACCAACTTGAAAAGCATTTATCTTATTAATCTTTAGTATTTCTAGCGTTGAAAAAAGGGTTGAAGATGAGAAAGTATAAGGCAAAAATGATATTATTTTCAGAATCTTTTTTTGTATCGTTGATACTGACTTTAATCTTGTCTTGTAGTTGCTAGCCACATGCAGTATATTACCGTATAATATAAATTTGGGTAAACAAGAGTATGATATAGAGTTATGAAATGTTTTTTATTTAGGTAGTGACGAATTTTACAAAGAATGTTACTACTTTTAATAATTTCTTAGTTATATAATCAATATGACTTTTCCACGTTAAGTGTTCATCGATCATAATACCAAGGAATTTAGTTTCTTTAGCATTTTGTATAATTTTATCATTAATCTTAAAGGTTAGATTTGCGTTAAGTTTTTTCCTGAATGATTTGAATATAATGTAGTTAGTCTTTTTAATATTTAAGGTAAGCTGATTATCCTTAAGCCAGGTTTGCACAAGTATAAGTTCATGATTTATTTCAATTTCAAGTTGTTTTAAGGCCGTTTTCCACTAGGCGAATTTGTTCGCGCGACGCGAAGCGAAAACCGAAATCCGGCAACGTGATTGGTCGGCGAAAAAATTCGCGGCGAAAAAGTAGGATCGCTTCCTACTTTTTATCTGTTCGCGCGAAAAAATTCGCCTAGTGGAAAACGGCCTTTAGGTCTTTTCCTGGACGAAATAAATTGTCATCTGCAAACATTATAAACGAAAGATTACTATAGCAATGTATATCATTGATATATAAAAAAAAGTAATGGGCCCAAAACTGCTCCTTGAGGAACTCCACATTTGATCGTTTTTTCAGTTGAGTAAGTTACATTATATTTAACTATCTGTTTTCTGTCAGTCAAGTAGTTTACAGACCAATCATTGCATATACCTCTAATTCCATAATGATGAAGTTTTGTCATAAGATTTTATGATTTACAGTGTCAAATGCTTTAGAAAGATCTAGGAAGATACCAATAGTATATTCCGGCCGTTTTCTTTTGCAGTAGATATTTTGTCAACTAAATCAATCATTGCGAGACTTGTTGAGTATTTATTCCGAAATCCGTATTGTTTGTCATAGTGATGAAGGGTGTTAATCGTTTAAACATTATTTTTTCTAGTATTTTTCCAAAACATGGTAAGACCTCATGAGATAGGTCTATAATTCGTAAATTTATTTTGTCACCAGTCTTATAAAAGGGTGTAACTAGCGACATTTTTAACTCACGAGGTATAATACCACATGTGAAGGATAGATTGAAAACATGGCACAGTGGTATTGAAATAATATGTGAAATGTGTTTAATAAGTTTGGAACTTATTCCATTGATTCCGCAGCTGCTTTTAGATTTCATAGAGGCATTTCATAGAATTGTGATCGAACTTCTTAGCTAAATTTGGTCCTACATTAACAAAAAATTCATTAAATCTATTCGCAATTATGTTTGGACTGTTTATTTCACTGCCATCTTCTAGAGGAAACCGAGAAGGTAGCTGTTTTCTCTCTCCTTTTTTGCAAATTAATTCATTTAGTATTTTCCATGTACTTTTCAAATCAGCTTTGGCATCCGATTTAACCGTTTTTGAAAATGCCTTTTCTTGGAGACTCTTATAAGATGGTTTAATTTATTTCGGAATATTTTATACTTCGTTCTATTAAATTAAATTCTGTTGGCTTGCATAGAAATTTCCTGTATAGTTTAGTTTTCGTTTTCGTGGATTTTATTAGTCCATTAGTTATCCATGGTTTCTTAGGGCATATGTTGTCTTTTAATTTAACCACTTTTACTGGAAAATATTTGTTGAAAATTCCTTGAAAGGTTTTTTGAAACTCTTCATAAGATTTTTCAACGTCAGGTTTTGATAGTGTAGATGACCATGTTTGATTATTTAATTCATTAACAAAGGATTCTCGTGCTGCATCAGGCATTTAGTCCAGCGGATATGCACAGATATTTGAGAAAATCATGCACTTTGTGAAGAAAGCACCAAATTCACAGGAAGTGTAGACTTTAACATGATAATGAATCTTAGATATGGAGGCATCACCAAAATTGATGCTGACGGCTTAAAATTTAGGATTTCTTATATTCTCTTATTAAACTCTTATACAATTAAAAGTTGTGAAATTGCAGGTTCACATATAGCAAAAATAACACGCGTCATTAGAAAGCTTACAAAAAACTGCATATAAAACATTTAAGCACTTACTTCTATTTTCCAACCCCTCTGGAGTTACGAGCGGTTGAAAATATGTTTTAGGGCTAGTGTCCAGGACTTTGGCGGGATTTTTGCCTATTTATCACGTCTTTCACGTCTTTAAATAGCAATAACTGGAAAACCGCTTGGAAAATCAATCAGCCGTTTAAAAGTCTTATATGTAGTTTTTTGTAAGCTTTCTAATCATGCAAGTCATTTTTGCTATATGTGAACCTGCAATTTCACAATTTTAAACAGTAATAGAGTTTAGTAAGAGAATATAAGAAATCCTAAATTTTAAGCCGTCAGCATCAATTTTGGTGATACCTCCATATCGATTCATTATCATGTTATTATCATCTTCACAAAGTGCATGATTTTTTACTTTTCCGCTGGACTAATTGGTCGAGTTTTACTTAGCTTAACACCGTTTTCAACTTGATTTTGGTTATAATCTAGACATATTTGGAATACTGGTAGGTGATCCGATAAATCGTTAAATAATATTCCACTAATTTGTTGTTGATAGCTTACTTGATTGCAAAATATATTGTCAATTAAGGTTGCTGTATGTTCAGTTAATCTCGTTGGTTTAGTTATAAGGGGGAGAAACGCAGAGGATGTTAGTTGGTTGAAGAATCTGTTTGCAAAAGTACAGTTTTCATACTTGAGTAAATCAGTGTTAAAATATCCCATTAGATAGCAAGGTTTGTTTTCTCTATCTACTTTTGATAGGATTTCACGTAAAGATTTTTCAAATTCATCATATTTGTTATTGGGTGGTCGATAAATAATCCCGACTATAACACTAGGAATATTATGGTTTAGGATTTCAATAAATCGGATTTTAAATTCATTGTGATCTCTTATAAATGCGCAAATTCCGCCGCCAGATTTATCAGCTTTCCTGTTTAAGTAAATGCTGCTATATCCTGGTATGTTATAGTCTATGTCAATGTCGTAAGCCAAGTTTCAGTAAGCACTATCCGTGAAAATTGTAATTTCAGTATATTTAGAAAAGTTTGAAGAGAGTCGACTTTATTCTTTAATTTAAGTTTCTTATGTTTAGGTGCAGTAGTGATAAATATACATTTGACTAAAACTATCGTTTAGTGGGGGAATTAGGCCGAGATTTTGTTTCACAAAACCGAATGGTAGTATTTTTGTCTTCATAGCATACGCCGAACCGAAGATATGAACCATGCAAAGTCATAGAGTTGAGAGATATCAGGTAAAGTTGATTCACGCATAGCATTGTGGGTCTATCTAATATTTGACCACAATGCAATGCGCCAAGGCAAAATTTAAAAAATTCTACATCAATTAGGTCTGCTGCCTTGCTCGCTCGCTGAAGGCTCGCTCGCTGCGGCAGCAATTAATTAATCAGGAGCAGTACCAGATCAGGAACAACCTTTATAATATTAATGATGGTACCTGGTAGCATGGATAATAAAATAAATGGATAAGGAGCGTGGTTGGATGTCCCAACCTAGTTGCGAACCTAATTCTCAAAAACGGCATGTTTAGCAATAATACAGCTAAACATTTTAGTCGAGGATCAAATAAATATAACCACGCCATTCTACGATGAAAACTCTAAGTATTCCCAGTCAATTTTAGCAAATATTTCAATTTTCAAGCACTAAAGAGTGAAAAATACATTGCAAATTTCGTTAAAATTTGTGACGCCAATTTCGTAGCTACAAACGTAAAAAAATACAAAACAAAGACAAAAAACATTTACCTCGAATACTTTGTCGTGGTTTAGGCATGTTTTTAAAATAATTAGACCAGTTTATACTTCAATATCACCCTTTTAAAGTGGAAAATATAGCAAAGCAACAAAAATGCCGAGAACTTTGGTAATATTCGCAATACGCGTGACGTCACGTTTTTCAACAAGGATGAGGTCAATGACGTCAGGAAGTTTCCTATCCAGTTATTTTACAATCCATGCTGGTAGTACCACGCCATACTCCAACCTGTTTCAATCCGTGCTAGGTACGGAGCTATTACGTATTCGCATTTTTTATTGTTTGTAGGGGTTCTCTTAATCTCTTTTCTTGTGTGAAAGAACAGTGTTCTAATGGGATTATACCGTGGACAATGCAAGAGATTGTGATTTATTTAGTATTAAACTTGTTGTTATAATTTTAATAAAGTAAGCGTGTGTTTATTGTGAAGTGTTGGGCAAATTCAGGGGGGAGGGGGCAATCTTCGACAAAGGAAATGAGAAAGAAATTACGTTTTACCCCCAATTATTCCAAATTTTCAACAATTTTGTGCAAATTCCCTTCCGAGAACGTCGAAACGGAGGAGGCGAAGGTTCGAGCTTTTGATATTTTACGTTGTTAAATGTCCGCCACTATAGACCTTTCCCCTTTTAAATGAGATTTTGATCTAGACTAGCCTGGACAAAAATTTCAGCACAGCTTGAAAGAGCATCACAAAATTAGTAATATTCCAAAGTTTCGTTGCGAAATGTTGTAAAATGCGGATAATATAGCCCGTGCGAAGTTTGCCGTTTTTCAGTCATTTTGTATTACAAATGGGAAATTGATAATCAGTTTGATCAAACTGATTATCAATTTCCCGTTTGTAATGTAAAATGACTGAAAAACGGCAAACTTCGCAAGGCTATAATATCCGCCGCATTTTACAACATTTCGCAACGAAACTTCGGAATATTACTAATTTTGTGATGCTCTTTCAAGCTGTGCTGAAATTTTTGTCCAGACATGTCTAGATCAAAATCTCACTTAAAAGGGGAAAGGTCTATTGAAGTTCGGATTTTCAAGATAGATTCGACCACTGATTCGACATGCATTGAACACATTTTCGACATTTTTTATAAATAAACATGGCAGGCTTAAATTAACAATTCCTATTGGATAGATTGAATTGGATATAAGTAATGCCGGTTTATGCAAAGCGGAGTCAACCTGACACGAGCGAAAAGTGGGCGTATTTCGTTTCTTGATTTACACTAATTCTCGTCTCACTCTGTGCCAAGGTACAATCGAAATAACGCTCCTTTGCCGATTATAAAAAGACGCCCTTTCCTTCTCTCGACATTAATTGTCTTTCGAACGCTAAGCAAGACTAGAAGAATAGGAGACGTGCGAGAAAGGAAAATCGGCTGTCTTTTAAGGTATGTTCAATTTTTAATAGCAGACGTTAACGTTACCCAGTCCTCAATAAAAACCTTTTGTGCAATTTGCAACTTTCCCATCGTGTGCAAATTAAATCAGTGGAGCAAAGGGGCTTTTGAGCAACAAAGTTAACGTAAAGAGGCGCGCAGAAACTTGGCAGAAATTTGCACACGCTCTCCCTTTCGAAATGTATTATTTAATTAAATTAAACTGCATGTGATTGGTGCTTATTTTTGCATCGTTTTGAATGCTCTTTGGTTTTCAGTGTCCAATTCGATAATAAGCGCAGATGTTGTTAAAATAAACTGCATTTTTACCATGATCTGGCACCGCGTAAAAGTGCTAAGAAAATCTCCAAATTTTAAGACTGATCGGCATGTTTATAAGACAGTGCTAATATCGGAAAAATGGGATGGCAGCCGGCCTACATTGCTGTGGTACTTGCTAGCTTGCAAGCATGGTCGGACGAACTCTATATATTTTATTAGCTATTTCATGTAATCGTGTGTTATGAATCAAACTATGCCGAAATAATTCTGCGTCCTGCAGCCGAAAATACAAAATATGTCAATGAAAAATAGAAGCCAGTATGATATGGTACTTGCAGCCGGATTTCCTTCCCGATATGCGTTGCGACTGCGATTTATGTTCTTCAGATGGTGTCGGCAGGGGCGAAACTAGCCCCTTTTAATTGGGGGGGGTCTGCTAGAATTGCCCTGCGAAAGCCGATGATGCCCTGCAGCAAAAATTAAATTAAGGTTACAGGACACCCTTTTTGGCGTTTTGCGGAAATTGAGTAGCAATGTTTTTTTTTAATACTATTCTGTTTCTGGCAACTTTTCGATTTATTTGAGTGCCATGGACAGCCAAGGTATTTTGTGAAGGATCAAATTGATGAAAGAACAAAACCGCTCAGGTTGAAGCTAATTGAACGCTGCCGTTTACTCAATTTATGAGCTGTAACAGTCTAACATTATAACAAGTGGACGTGTTTTTTTGAAGGCTATGAAACTGTGATATTTTTTTCTGTTTATACATCATGGCCAGAAATTTTGGACATGGGTATTACGCATGCGCGACTGAATTTGCTGTTAATATGGCCACCAAATTTTGTGCTAATTATGTATGAATATATAGGAATGACAATCGTTGATTGCACGCTTCCCATGTTTCGTTTATCACTTGCCGACCTCTATAGTTATTCTAACGCGTATTGGGAAGCATTCATACCACTCCAGTTTGCGCGACGAGTTGTATTAGCTCTACTTTATTAGCCTGTGTGCAGATGTTATTCTCGACGAAGCGCAGGAGAGAACGTCTGTGAGTCGGATGTCGGATATTCCCCAGATTTGGGGAAAGGCCTCTGATTGGACAGTCCTTTATTTTAATAATATATGACAACTGAAGATATTTCATTGGTTAATTGATCATTAGCACATTAGCAGAAATATGGGACAAGATGGAGACGGACATGCGCACATTGTCCCAATATGGCGACTAAATATTACTATAAACTATACAGGGATTTACAAAAATGTCAAATTTTAACCTACTTTGTTTAGATATCTCATGGTTGCGGACTTCGATAATAACAACAGCACGAACAAGCAGTATTTGTAAACCAAAATCGCTAGCATTTCTACATGTCTAAGTGGTTCCCGTGATCGGTGTATTTTCACTAGAAATTCGAAGTATTTGATAGTGTAATCTATAGTAATCTTGCCATACATGAGGTAAAACTCCGCCGAATAGACCAACATTCTTTCGCGCGATGTAAACTGCGGACTTGGCGATGTATTTAGCGATGTTCAAACTGTCAGTATAGCTTAACATATCCCAGGTTATTCTGCGCCAAACCGGTTCCAAAATCGTTTAAAACTTTGCCTTTTTATGAGTCTTGCTTATCGCCATTAGGTTATATTTATAGTCGAAAACGACAAGTCTAAATACAAATTTAGGCTCCTTCGAGCAGCCATGTTTCTTGTTTACCAATCTCGTTCGGTCGGCACTATATCATAGACAAGATACGTACAAATCTGAAACTGCAATACATACAAGTCAGCGGTATTTCAAGTGCGGTAAACTTTATATAAACAATATAAACGCAATAAACACGTCATTACAAATGGTGCATTGTGAAAATAACCAAGTCATTACAAATGGAGATTTAAAGATAGGTATGGGGTTTAATATTTAAAAATAATTTTAACTCATAAACATTATTACAGTATATATACCGTAGCCAACGTGTTTTTATTTTCCAAGGGGAAAATATAGCCCACATGTGGCATAGTATTTATTGGTGACATATTCATAGGGGACCGATCATTATTTATGGCGGGGGGTGGCACCGAAGAGAAATGTTTTTCGTGGCAAATATTTTGCTGACCCAACCATTAAAAAGTCAAAAATTTGATTACCCAACCTCAAATATCAAATAAAAAATAAATACCCACCCCTGGCCAAAAACTTTACAAAAAGTTACCATTCAGTTGTCACATATGTCCTTTACCATTTCTGTGACATGAGTTTGATAACGGATTGTGAAATTTTCTGCAGTTTAAAGTTTCATGTTGTCTGCACAGTCATGTACTTTCCGTTTGGAGATACCATTTGTCTCCTAACAAATCGGAAAATGATCAAGACAATGACTCTGATTGATTCACATATTTTATTGACATATGGCTATAACTTTTTATTACCCAACCCTTGAGTTGTTTTGTTTTTCATCCACCCAACCTTCTACTTACTCAAAATTTTGTTTACCCAACCATTTTCTCTTCGGTGCCACCCCCCGCCATAAATAATGACCGGTCCCTAGGAAAACACATGGTGGTCAACTTTGCACGTTTGTCGCTTATATGCCTTGTGGAAGCGAGCAAATTTTGTTAAATGTTCTGTACTTGCTTATTGAATACAAGGTGAATTAATATACTGTTATGAATAATGAACTCAATGTGTTTCCTTTTGGAGTTGACCACCAAGTTTTATAAAAGTGTCACAGGATTCAGATTGAAACCCAACTATGGTCGCACCATTACTGTTTAGTCTGTTAGTCACTCTTTTAATCTGCCTTGTGCAATTGGCCCATTAGCATTTGAATCTTGTAGTCCGGCTTGGCTAATTGACTAATAGAGCAACATAAATAAGAAATATTTACTAATAATTAGTAATAATTATTAGTTAGAAATATTAATAATATTTTATTGCTTTAGAGAATACTGTACAGTAACCTAGCCAGAGCCGGGGGACTCCCCCCCCCCCAGAAAATGTTGTTGCCCAGTACATCTAATTTTTGTATGCCTTGGTTGTCCCTCCTCCTTGGTCCACAAATTTAAAATTTCAAAGTCTGAGTGCATATTTTTGGAAATACAACATTTGAATTTTTCTTATATTTTCCCTAGAAATTATGTACAATAACACAGTAAATTTTTAGTAAAATGTTCAAGAAAAAGGAACGTCCAACAGCAGCAGATGACACAGTAAATCTTTAGTAGATAGATAGATAGATAAACTTTATTTAAACACGCTGACCTCGTCAACCGAAGCTGATTTCCACGAGGGGCGTGCGAAAAGTATACAGAAAAGAATTATAAAACTATTTACAAAATTATATAAGATATATAGTATTATATGAACTAACAAACTAAGGTAGTAATCTATATACAGATAATATTAACATCTATGTTAATTAGCTATCAGTCAATGTGAGTAGTGATTTTCTTTCGAAAGGAAGAAAAGGATTTGCTCTCTCTTATTTCTTTAGGAATAGAATTCCAAAGGTGTGCTCCGTCATACACGAAACTTTTTTTCATATTATTAGTACGCGGTTGTGGTAAACAAAGACTACTTGAAATGTTCCGAAGTTTGTAGTTTGTCACCTCACCCTTATATGTGAAGAGATTACTGAGTGATTTCGGTCCCATTTTGTTCAATAATTTGTACATGATTTTTGCTTTACTTTTCTTCCTTTCTGTTTTAAGTGGCTTCCAACCCAATGCTTGCAATGCAACAGAGTGATCTATGTCATTGCTCATATTCAAAATAATCCGAGCAGCTCTGTTTTGTAGTTTTTGGAGTCTTTTTGATTGCGTTTCTCCAAACACATCCCATACTTCACAGCAGTAATCGAAATATGGGCGAACAATAGCATTATATACAGAAAGAAGTGTTTGCTTATCAGCAAATTCTTTTAAACGTCTAAGAGCCGATATTCCAGATGTAATTTTCTTGCAAATATTCTCAGTGTTAGTTTTCCAAGATAAATGCTGGTCAATTGTCACTCCAAGAGTTTTGGATTCATAAACTTGTTTAATTGACTCGTTTTCAATTTTCACGTTTAGTTGCAAATTTGAAATATTTTTTATCATTTGTTTTGAACCAATTAACATAAACTCAGTCTTAGCAACATTTAGACTAAGTTTATTGGCAATTAGCCATTTCCTAAGTTTTTCCAAATCAGAATTCACTGCAGTTTCAAGATCAGTAATAGAGTTTCCAGAAACTGTCAGGTTCGTATCGTCAGCAAACAACCGAGGTTTTGTTTTATCCAGGCATTGAGGCAAATCGTTAATGTATAACAGAAAAAATAGGGGCCCTAAAATAGAGCCTTGTGGTACGCCACATTTGATCAATTTCTCTGATGAAACAGATCCTTGTATTTGGCATTTTTGGTTTCTATTTGAGAGATATGATTCTAGAAAAGACAGAGCTTGTCCTTTTATTCCGTAAAGCTCTAATTTTTTCAATATTTGATGGTCGACAGTATCAAATGCTTTTTTTAAGTCAATTAAGACTACCAGGTTAAACATTTTGCGGTCTAAATTCATATACCAATCATTTGTACAGTCAAGTAATGCTGTAGTTGTAGAGTGAAATTTACGAAAACCGAATTGACAGTCACTCAGAAGTTCAAATTTGGTTAAATAATTGTATAGCTGATCGTACAGAATTCGTTCCATAATTTTGCTAATGACAGGCAGAACTGAAATTGGTCTGTAATTTCCTGGCAGGTTTCGTTGGCCATTTCCAACAGCAGCAGATGACACAGTAAATCTTTATTAAAATGTTCAAGGAAAAGGAACTTCCAACAGCAGCAGATGACACAGTAAATCTTTATTAAAATGTTCAAGGAAAAGGAACTTCCAACAGCAGCAGATGACACAGTAAATCTTTATTAAAATGTTCAAGGAAAAGGAACTTCCAACAGCAGCAGATGACACAGCAAATCTTTATTAAAATGTTCAAGGAAAAGGAACTTCCAACAGCAGCAGATGACACAGTAAATCTTCAGTAAAATGTTGAAGGAAAAGGATCTTCCAACAGCGGCAGATAACACAATGAATTTTTACTCTTTCTAACGCTAGATGATTTTGCTCATCAAGGAGAGTCTTGCAACTTAATAGGTTAATGAATCAATTGGTTATTACAACCGATTTCAACTTAATTCATATTTAACATTTTAACCCATTTACTGGCAGTACTCTACCACTGATGAGTAATTAATCGTCTGGTGTTAGACAGACATTTGGGCACATTCACATTGCCAGTTAATGAGTTAATATTAACAACATTAAAAACAGACTAGGGTGTCAAAGGCTAGGTGGATGCTTATTTGCCTGCAGGGGCGAAACTAGCCCATGTCAATTGGGGGGTGTCTGTTAGAATTGCCCTGCGAAAGGCGATGATGCCCTGCGGCAAAAATTTTTTGGGGGCACTATTTCTCCTAAAAAAGTTGGCAAGCCCTGGAAGCTACTTAATAACTCTACATTCTACCATTTAAAACCTTTCATTGCCCTGCCAATCCAGATGATTTGCCCTGCCAATCCAGCTTTGGGGGGGGGGGGTGTCACCCCACACCCCCTTCAAGTTTCACCCCTGTTTGCCTGCAAAAAGGAATAAGGTGGGACTGCCACATGATCAATGTTAGATTTCAGCAATGAAGAGAATCAATATTTTAATAAAATAATTGTTAAAATAATCAATATTTAATAATAAAATAATTGTTGTCAATTAATAAAATATTTGTTACAAATTGTTGGGTTAATAATTATTGGGTTTGTTGCCTCCAAAGAATGCATCCACCTAACCTTTGACATCCTGGTCAACTGTTTTTAACATGTTGTTAATATTATTAAGTGCATGAAAATATGAAAAGTTGAAATATGGTGCTATTGCAGATTATGCAGTGATTATATGCATATATAGTACATGAAATGGACATTAGATGACTTGAGCTGGCCTAGTTAGCCAGCTTATCTTCAGTGTCTTGGTTTGCCAATATCCTGACTCATATGATAACAATTTCTATTCTGGCACTTAATTATAGGCTAGCCTGGCTCATATGAACAGGGCCTAAGATGATACATCTTAACATCATATACTAGGCATACGAATATCATACTGGCAGATAATTAGATAATTGACTGAAAGCCTTTTTCCATTATTGTGTATTTCTACCATTTAGTATTAGCACTTGTTTCTGACTTTCTGTTTATAGTGTGATGTGTATATTAATTAAATAATATGAAATTGTATGAAATGTATATAATGAATGATTAGGGACCACCGGTTATTAATAATGGGAGGCAGGGAGGGGGGCCAGTGGCATAATGTAGGAAGAGGGGGCCACCTTGGTGTGGCCCCTGTTGACTGTTATTGTTTGACTAAGATCTTATCTTTATATTGAATATTTATCAGTAGAATGGAAAATTCTATGTCTATAACAATGACAATAACAGTCTCCAACACATGTAACAATTAACTTTTAAGAATAACTTTTGTTCTATTTGAGATGGAATACCAACGTCGATGGAGGGTTTATTATTTAGCATTATTAATTTTGTATTTTTCCATCGATTCGTAACCTGTATTTTTTACGTTTTCAGTCTAATTTTCTGGGTGATAGGCCGTGGCTGATGGGGGCCCCTAACTGTCGGGGGCCCTTAGTTTTTTAACTAACCCTAGTGAGCATTATGCCACTGA